GGAGGGGTCAGTGTGTCTGCAGCAGGGCTGTCCAGTCCTGGTCCGGGAGGGGTCAGTGTGTCTCCAGCAGGGCTGTCCAGTCCTGGTCCAGGAGGGGGCGCTGTGTCTGCAGGTTTTCCAGGTGTCCGGAGTAGTGACATTCATTGGTCCAGTTAGGGTACCGGAAGAAGGTTTTGGGGTGCTGCAGTTGCCAGGAGAGGTGGTGTTGGTCTCTGACTGTCACCCAACACAAAGATTGACATAACCCCCCCCCCACCTCAGCTCTTCACCTTCATTACTGAGTGAAGAGGACAGAGCACTGTCATGATCCATGAGTGTTCTCTCATGGATCCAGACAGAGCAGTGGGATCCAGTCAGCTTTATTTAACTGGACTGTCATGTAATCAATTATGACACAGTGGGCTACACCAGGGACCTGCACTGGAAACGGACGCACTCTCCCCGCCCTGCTGGAGTGTGAAAACACTTTGTCTGCCAAGGGCCGGGTCTCCCACCTCCTTCCGCGGTGCGGTAGACAACGGTTTCATTACAGTTTCTCCAGTGACGTTTCTCTCGCGCGGCGTTTTTCTCCTGTTCCCCGGTGTAATACTGCATCCGGCCACAAGGCGGCAGTGTGCCCTCCCCCCATCTCGAAGCTGCACACCCACGCATTTCACCGGCAGGCCTGTCCTCCGGCTCGTGGGATCACACACATTAATTGACCGCCCTCCTCTGTCTAATTAGGTTGCCCTCGCGTCATGCTCGTTAATGCCCCAAGAGCAGACAGCCACTGCCCAAACCGACATTATTCTCCCACCTAGAAATTGAGGGCGACAGTCATGCCTTTAAATATCTCGGTCCTATCCTAAGCTGGTTTAAAAAGTAGCACTTAATATTGTAACACATATGATGTTGTGTCTAATGTAGTGTTTTCGGTCTCAAGCTGAGGTTACAGACGCGAACAGGGTTTGCCGTCGTGCATGAGCTGGTGTGAAACAGGTCAATTCTTTATACTAGAGCTCCTTTGATCCCCAGCCATTTCAAAGTGCTTCCTATAGAGGGGGGAATCCACTACACCCCTCACCTGGGAGACGCACACAGGTCATTCTGCCCCAGCAGCCCCACCTGGGAGACGCACAGAGGTCGTTCTGCCCCAGCAGCCCCACCTGGGAGACGCACAGTTGTCCTTGTGTCCTGCTGCACCATGTGGAATTAATGAAAGTCCCTGTAGTCACGACCTCAGTTTAATGTCTCGTCTTAAAGAGGGCCATTGCCTTAAGTACAACGTGGGGCCCTGGTTTGTAAATTCTGGTCCAAAGAAATGAATGACACCAACCGATCAGACAGGTCCAGTCTTGTTGGACAGCTGGTCCGGCGGTTCGGGTCCGGTCCTGTTAGACCGGGAGGACAGCTGGTCCGGTGGTTCAGGTCCGGTCCTGCTAGACCGGGAGGACAGCTGGTCTGGAGGGTCAGGTCCAGTCCTGGTGTTGTGCACTCTGTTCTTGGGGTCTGGGAGGGTTGCAGGTTCAAACCCCAGGTGGGGTGGCACAGCTGATGACTCCTCGGGCGCGTCAGGCGCTTCACTCGGATCTGCTCCAGTTACCTCCCCCGGGCTGTCATCTCGGGGTGAATAAGGGGCGATTTTTACAGTAACGTTCTCACGGTCCTGTCGGGCTGGAGGGCTCTGATCAAGGGCCAGGCCGCCCCGGTGTCAGATTACAATGGGGGCGCTGTGTCTGCAAGATCTGGGGAGACGGGCGGAGGGGGAAAACACAGGGCTGCCATTGTGAGCGAGCTCGCACATCAAGCTTGCCGAGGGAAGAGTCGAGGAGGGACCCCGGGGGGGGGTCCGAGCGCGCAACGAGACACACGGGCTCCAGCCCCAGGAGCCCGGGCTCTTGGAGCACCAGAGGGTTCCGAGCTCATCGCGCCGATTTTGATCCATCCGGAGCTGAGAAGGATCTGAGAAGCTCAACCAGCCATTCCTGCTTCAGCAGCGGGGGCTGGGCGGCTTGTTCCACACCCCCACCTCTCTCAGGGTAGAGGAGTGTCACCTGCCCTGACTGGAGGATTTCATCCAGACGTTCGCGAATGAGCCCAGGGTGTCGGCTTCAACAGCACGGCCGGTTCCACACACCCACCACCCTTTGTGTGCAGTAGTGCCTCCTGTATTCGGTTTTAAGTGCACCTCCCCCTGGCCCCGGAGTGGGGGGAGGAGGGGAGGGGGCGCAGTCTCGCTGTGGGCCTGCAGGGGGCAGCAGTGTTCATTTTGTCTGACGGCTGACGACCCGGTCCGGCCCCTGGAGTCGGGGACCTGGCTGTGAGATGAGGAGGAGGAGGAGGAGGAGGGGGGCCCTGTGCGGCATCTCCGCCTCTGGACGCCAGCAGAGGGTTTGATTGCGAGGTAAGGTGGGGGTGCTATAAACGAGACGCTGGCAGCACCCAGTCAAGCTGACAGGTCTCCACGGTCCATACCTGTCTATCCCTCCCGTAATCCAGACCTTTGGACTCATGGCGTGGAGAGAGGGCGGACTGATGCATTCTGGCAGTCCGACAATCCGACACTGATCCCGAAGGGAATTCCCTGTCTTCTGCAGAGGCTGAGCCCCAGCCCTGTTCCGGGGTGGGGGGGGGTAGTTGACTGTTGATCATATAACACTGCACAATCGCGCCCTGCGATGGACAAATCGATGAGTTGGACTGGTGGTGGCCGTGCAGTCGTCAGAAAGGCGGCGCGGTTGTGCGCTTTGCCGTTTTCCGGCGCCGGGGCCCGTCTGGGTGGAGTCTGCATGTTCTCCTCGGGCTCACCTGGGGTACCTCACATGGGCTCGCGTTTTCTCCCACAGTTTAACCCACTGTGTGGATTAATGGGCTTCTGGGAGAACTGGCCCTGGTGTGTGTGTGTGTGTGTCCTGTGATGCACTGGCGCCCGCTGCTTGCTGGGATACACTCTGGCTGCCCCGTGACCCCAGGCTTGGGATAAGTGATTCGAAAGCGAACGGATGTCAGTTTGGTCCAAGCAGGTATTTAAGGGTGAGTTCCATTAGCGCGAGAGGGAGACACAACTGGATCTTCGGTCTGTTGAGAGCCACTTCCTCAGCAACGCTTGAAAACATGCGAACTCCACACAGACAGAACCCCGGGAATTGAACCCGGGGCCCCAGAGCTGCGATACTAATGACCTCGCCCCCCCTCTGCCGCCCGCAAGCTGTAGAGACTGGATATTCCCTTTTAACACGTAGGGCGCCGCAGTTAGCCGAGCCGGACTAGAATTGCGTTGGAACCGAACCACGGTTAAAAAACAAAAACAAACGAGGAAATATCGTTCGTGCGTGAGGCTGCCGTGCAGGCGATGGCGTGCAGGTAGATCGTAGAAACGATTGGGCTTTCTGCCAGTGCAATAATGCACGCAGATCTCGCTCTCCAAATGCGGATATAAATCAAAAGCATCAGGATGCTTGTATTTCTGTCACCAAAGGGAGACCAGTGGAAAAGTCCCACTTGACCGTGGGGTGCGGGAAGCTTCCTACCGGCGCTGGGCTGCCGTACCGGGGAGAGGGGCGTCCGTGACCTTACCAGCGGCCGGCAGAGCCGCACCAGCGAGCGAGCGAGCGAGCGAGGGGCACAGGGGGGATCAGACGGCGCTGCGCTCCCACTAAGCGC